TTGCCTATCTAGAAAAAAAAAAAAAAAAAAGATGGAATGGTAGCCTGGGAGATACTACCTTCTCCAAGCTCTTTTCAAATATTTTTCTTCGTTTTCATGTTTGGAAAGCACAGCTGAAGGCTGCAGTTGTCAGTTGTAATCTTAAATGGAGGAGCTCTGAATCATCTAAAGTCTCCTTAATCTACCAAACACGCTGCAGGAAGAAAATTGGTTACCTGCTGTTTCGGCAGCCAACTTCTGACTCACGCTTCACAAGTGCTTTTCTGTCCCAGAGACCTTTTTTTTGAACTATGGGGAAATAGACTGGCCCTGGAAGGGAGACAGTGTGCTTCAAGGGCATCAGGGCAACAAAATGTTTCCCGAGTGTCTCGTCTGACTTCATGGGAATGTGGCTGGTTCACAGGCCCGTGAGGATTGCTACTGTCAGGAGACAAAAGAGACGATGAAAGGTGCACACTGGAGTTATAGCCAACCATGGGCCGTTTGTTGTTGCACTCCAGCTGGCCAAACACGAAAAGCAACAGTTCTCATGGGTTTTAGCTTCAGAAGCCCCCCCTGAAAGATTTGGAAATTATTAAAGTTCCGAAACTCCTTTAGCATATTTTAAAATTTTCTTCATGTCCGACATTCTCTGTATTACATGCTTGGAGCACCTGACTGGTTTACTAATGCACGCTACTGAACACATCCAGAGTATTCTTCTAAGAAGTCTAGGGCCCGTCTTGTACATAGATTTCTCTTCAGTTCATAGTTCACAGAAATATTTTTAGTTCTCAGTATGAATTGTGTCCTACCAACCGCTGCTTCACTAAAAGACAGGAAGTGGGGAGGGATATCATAGGAATAGGGAGATGTGGTCAGAAGTAGGAAGACAGACATGCATGGAAGCTGATAATGCCCTTCTAAGTCTCTCCACCTAATAAGAAGGTGGTATCTGTTGCATTTTCCAGCGCTAGCAAGATGGAGTTTCAGTATTTAATTTCCTTCAGAGTCTCTTCAGATAGTGCGACTAATAGGTTATCCACATTCACGATCCTTTTTATGTAATTTCTTTAAGATTGGTTTTCTGTTACTGGTTTGGAGGTAAACAGTTTACAGAGAGCTGTTTAGCTAAGCATGTCTCCTTATTAAGTCTCTTTATTTACATGTGCCGTGCAGCTCAGATACGCTTATTTAATGGCTAAAGATATGCAAATTCACATAACATTGTCATGAATAAATGTGTGTAAATAAATATCTGCAGTGAATATTATAAATACATTTTTTAATGAATGTATTCTAAATGAGGGAGAAGAAACAGTCAATTGAATTAAGGTGGAGATTCACTTTTGGAGTAGCTCTTTGAAATTCAAAACACATGCTATAGCTTTTTGCAGCCTAGAAGAAACACTGAAAAGCAGCTCAGGAAAGGTGAGGGGAAGGGAAAGGGAGAAGGGTATGACTATCTTTATAGCTACTATTATCCCCTAGAATTAAGTCATTTTTTGACTAGACCAGATAAACTCAGAAGGCGCCTAAGCAAAGCATAATCAGCTCTGAAGTATAGTACATTCAGGGATATACCTGATCTCTATTCTCATCCTGTAGATAAATCAATGGCTAGTATTTATCGAGCCTAAAATGTTATCATCTGCTTTGTAAATACAATGAAATTTGTTCTTGCTGTTATGTGTTACAAAAATGAGTAGCTCTGCTAAGAGGGTTTCTTAATACAGGTGGAATAGAGTTGTACAGAATATTTTCAGGGCACTTGGGAGCAATACTTCAGACTAGTATTCCTATAGTTCTTTTACTGTGCAGGAATACCTTCTGTAGCTGTTACTCAGACGTACACAAAAACTGGGAACATCAGCAGGGCAAATGGCTGCTTTAGATATGTTAATACAAAAAGTGTTTCTAAGGAAGAATACAGAGTAATGCAGGAGAACTGAGCATGATAATAATGGGAGAGCATAAGAAATGACCACAGTTTTATTTTTTCATGACCAAGGACAGTTCCGTTTAGCTCTGGATGCTTTAAAATGTCTGTAACTATATGCAAAAGCCAGTACTGAAAGACTTAAGTGTTGCTGTGGATAAATTAGAAACATTTTTCATTTTTCTAGTATCACTAGAAGCAAATGTGTTAGTAAAATGAATTACCTCGGGACCACTTTATTCTCATGAATGACATAAAAAATACAATTGAAATTATTCATCCAGCACTGAGTCCTTTAAACTGAGAGCTTTAAGCTTCTATAGAATACATATAAATGACTGATATAGAAAAAGCTGCTGATACTCCAGAAACTAAGGAAATCCTTTGTTGTATGTCTGTAAAAATGAAGTGTTGGGTAGACACAATTCATAACAATCAAACTTCAGTCTGTTTTTCTACACAGGCTTCATGTATAGGGGCAGATATTTGTCTTTTTTGTTTCTTCAGTTTACTCAGGGAGGGGGGGGTGATAATTTGTCATGATTATAAATCACAGAGAGAGTACACAAAGCAGCCTGATGATCTCACTGTTTCAGGTTTTTTCTTAGGTGCGCTTTGAAATTCTGTCTAATTTTAAGCTCCTGGAGGCAAATACTAAGTAGCCCTGTTTTCTTATGGTTCTATAGTTAGCACAATACTGACTCACAAAGTAGTCACTGTGCCTGCTGTTGGTAGTAAATAAACAATGTCTACAGTAATAAATGTTTGTAGGGGCAAGACTCTTGTGTGATAAATTGCTTTGAATTGGGACGACATATTCCATAAGGGCAGGTCAGTGAAGCATATTTTTATAGCAAATAGTTCTTGCCATTATCAGGAGACCTCTGGAGTCAAAAATAACAAGACCGTAGTAAGAAGGAAGGGATTAGTTTTTTATCGTTGCAGATCTGGGTATAAGCTGTACCAGTAAAGGTTCCTTGTAAGGTCTCCAGGAAAATTATTTGAGGAAGAGTTACGCTTCTTGGGCTTCCTCCGTCAGTATTCTAGTTCATTATATAAAAGATGTTTGTGTATGTGTGCAGCGTCCATCTCACCCAACACTGTCAGATGTTCACTATTTCTCCCTTTAGTAGTTATGCAGTCAGCACGCTCCAACAGTTTCTCATAACTCAGCTTTCCTACTTCAAGGCATAAGGCATAAAGCGTGGAAGGACTTCTCCACTGAGGGATGCATCTTCTGTACAAAGTTCAAATCTCAAAACAGCTCTTTGGCAAGCACAGCAGCTTTATGGACTTTTAGAGGTCGATCCCCCTCTGGCTCCAAAGTTGCATTACAACTAGTAAAAGGTAATGCTAGCTGCGTGTACAGGAGATGCAACTTCTGCACTGACACTGGCACAATCTTACAGAAAACTTCTGTGACAATGAGGAATGAGGTATTCTCAGGTGTTGATAGTTAATGAGCCACACATAGGTTCTGACTGTAGCTCAGATAGCAGGCACTGAGTTAAATCCTTTCTCCAAAGAAACATAGAAAGGATAGGCACTGTGGTCTGCCATCTCTCAGTCTTAGAGTGTGAAGTCTGTTTTCCTCAGTCTCTCCCATGGGGAGCTGTTTCATTCTTCAGGATGTTGAGAAGAAGGAAGGAAAGAAAGAAGGAAGGCAGGAAGGAAGGCAGGATTTTCTAGCCTAGTTTTGACTGTTTTGAATTCCAGTTCCCGATCTATAGTTCTCTCATTCTTGAAAATACTGAGAGTGTCAAAAGGTCTTGAGTGCCACAACCCAAAACAGCATATTATAAGGAGGAAGTACAATGGTTCGTGCAGGTGAGAGAGGTAGGTTCAGGTAAAGAAAATTTAACCTAAGTCATCATATCCTAGCTGTCTTATGCACTGTGTCTCATCCTCTGAATAGTTAAGGTGACTCACTCAAATTGCTGCCTCTTCCTTAGTGCTCTATTTATTTCCTTTGTTTTTCCCAAGTCACATTTTACTTTAATGCATCATTCAACCAAACGTTTGCTTGCTTGTTTGTGTTTCTTTGCCACAAATAGTCTAAATAAGTACATTGTGAGAGAAATAAAACTGAAGTTATTTTAATTGTTTTCAGCTTGGCAGCCTTTTTGAGCACCACTCTATTTATTAGCTGGCAATTACGTTGTTGGTGTAAATAGGAGCAATTGGTTGTGACAAATAAATCATTTCGGCCTATATATAACTTCCATATATTAGAAACTTCAGAGAATGAAAGCATGGCTGACAAATTATCAGGAAAAACAATTATGGTATATAAAAGACTTGGCATCTTTTTCCTTATTTTTCCATCAAGTCGGAAGTTAGTAAAGAAGGCTTGATAGAAGTCCGTAATTGCTTCGTTTCTTAAAAGCTATCGTAAATGATTTAGGCTTTGAGGGGAAAAAAGAAAGCCTTGTCAATCTCTTTTTGTGTGTTCCCTCAGTCTGCTTCCATTACCCACTTCAAGGTTTTTACTTTCTCTACCAGGCAATGTGCCAAGAAGACAAGGGGGTTAAGCAGGGCTTAGTTCTGCTTCTAGTCTAACATCAATTACAGCTCTGTGAGTCAGCTCTTTCCACAACCAGTTTCTGTAATGTTCATCTGCAGAGTGACTCACTTCATCATGTTTCAAACATCATGTCAGGAAGACATGCTTCACTACAGGTACCAGGATTGAGCACGCTGGTTTGTGGTGACAAGCAAGTAATTAGCAGAAGAATTACATCTTTCTGTTTTCTCCTGTCTTTCCATTTTATGTTTTTTGCCCAAAAAACGTACGTAGTATCTTATTTTTAACATGCTGCTGTGCAAAATATTATCTACTGGCAATTTTTGTCTGTGACTCGCAGTGGAAGTCTTGTTATGTATCAAAAAATCAAGTAACATCATAAAGGAAATGAAAGAGTTGTTTTAGGTGCCTACTTACACAGATTGTTCGTAAGGTACTTTAAAAATTTCTAGGATTTTTTGAAGCTTATAAGTAATATTCTTATACAGATTTCTGTTATTTTGGATATTTTGATACTTAGCTCAACAAATATGTATTTACTGTTTTATTTCTTCATAGATATTTCATTGATCATAACACAGAAGAAGATAGGTATTTCACCATTGATGCTAGTACGGGGACCATTAAGACTGCCAAGATCTTTGACAGAGAGGAAACACCTCGGTACAACATCACGGTGGCTGCTTCTGAGATAGGTAAATAACACATTTGGCACATAGTTTTAAAGAAAAAATTAAAAAGGAAAAGATTAATATTTGATACTAAGAAACACTATTGTGGGGCGTGAGGTTCTTTTCAGTACCAGCTCTTTTTTTAACCAATTTGAATAAAGGAGAATTTTCTGTGTGTGTATAACTTCTCTAATTCCACGAAACAAACAAAGCTCTACATGCGTATGTGATTCCAGCTATATAAGTTTACCACATTTTTCTGTATGTGATAGGAGGCTGTCAGTTTACCCAGGAACGTTTTCACCCGTTCAGTGTCCATTTTGTCCTATTTGTGTATGATATTTCATGTATCTCAGAAGATAACACTGTATAGTTTTATCTGAGAAATGCATCCTTACCTCTTATATCTGCTGTTAACCTAGTATTAATGAATTGCCTGTTAAATATGCCAATATTAACTTACATCTGACTGCTGCCTAGTAGTTGTTGATTATCAGGGTGTACATCTGGCCTTTTAACTGACGAATTGCCGAGTAAAGATATGATAAATCCTTCTGCTGCGTTCAAAAGGCCTCAGTCAAATCTGATGAATTTCCATGGCCTCAGACAGGCCTCACCACAGTCAAGAAATGTCTTGTCTAAGTAGTCCCAGATAAATGTTTTTACCTGAGGCAAGTACAATTAAGAAAACAATTTAAACAAATAAATATTTCAGTTATATTTTTTATTACAGGAGCTTATTTTTGGCACAAAGATTTAGAGTTAAAAAACTCAACAAAGCAAACAAAAGAAATCTCAAGCTGGATCAATTTATCCAGTTATGTTAAGTGCTGTTAGTGATATAGTCTTTCAAGGGCAGTGATTTTGATCCTGAACATGAAGTACTTTTATGTACATTCTTCCCCATATTTTTTTTTTCCCTTTTGGTGTATTCCATCATTGATAGATGATGCCGTACAGGTTTACCTGTAAAAAATGCCACTGACATTAGTGAGTTCCCTCTACTTTCATCTGTTTCATTTCCTGATTAAAATGGAATCCGGTCTGCCGCTATACTACTAGCATACACTACATTCATATTTTATAAGAGCAACAGATTGTTTTCGATTAATGTACTGGTTTTTGCAATTGAGTTAACATTATGAACTAAGTAAATTTCTATGGTAAATAGTAGAATCTAGAGTTTTGTAGGTAGCCCTTAAAAAAAGGTAACGACTGAGATCACAGTGTGCTTTACAATGTCTTTGTATAATATCTCATTTCCGTGTAGCATGCACTAGCATAATTCAGGCCAATCTTAAACAGGTAAGGGTGAGTGCATGACTGAGTAACCTGTGCAACGTGACAGAGCGTACCCTCAGCCAGTGAGTTTTGCTTAAGAGCCACATTGGGATATACTGGAAATGGAAAGGAGTAGTCACTAGGCTTTTGGGGAAAACATCCAAATGTAATTATTTTGCAGAAATAAATAGCATTAAACTTAATGTTACTTTCTATGCATTATTTATTTCACATAGTCAAGTGAGTGGTACTACACATACCATGCTAAAAAAGATTATACTTACAACTGAAAGAAGATTGTATGAATAATGAGAACGAAATGCCATTTTTTCAAGACAGCCTGCTAAGTATTTTCCATTCTAGGTCCTACTTGTTATGGGAAAACATGGATCTTGCTTTTCGCCTTTCACTACTTCTTACTATTACAGTTGAGGTTGGAAAGATGAGCAAATCTATAAAGTCAGTTTGAAAAAGCGTTCTGTTTATAAAAAAAGGAAGAGACAGCAATGAAGAAGAGATGGATGGCTGACAGACTGACAGGCAACTTAAATGTTAATTAACTTCCCCTTGTGTCCACTTCTTCTTTGGCCATTTTCTTATATAGAGCAATTTGAAAATTACAACAACAAAGCTATACTGTACCAAATCCATTGTGAAATCAGTAATTGGATCTGTGATAGGAAAAGGAACATACATTGTGCATACAGCATCAAGACTCTTGTTATCTTAAGTGCTCTCTGTTGCAATATTTACAGCCAATTTATGGCGGTTACTTTCAAGTCCACGTACAAGGCATTGCAAGATTAACATGGAAGCTGAGAAACAGGTGGAACACCATGACCAAAATCTCATTTAGTCATGAGAATGACAGTCTTCAAGGTAGTCTGGCATGGCACAAGTCGTTTGCAGCTTCTGACATGCCTTGCTTAGCCAAGAACATACAAGAATATACAAGGCCCAGAAGGATTCTACTATGTCAACAGTAAGAGGTGCTCTACTGAAATAACCTTTCGGTTGTGGTCAGTTTCGTGAAATGTTTTCCTCTCTTTACTTAACATTGCACTACACTGACAATTTTCTTTCTACTGATTATCCTTTGGGCAGCTGTTTGTAGGTGTCCATACTTTATGTGAAGGAAATTTAGAATCAGTGTCATATTTCCATCCTCATATTTAAGATACGCTCATGTCTCAGGATTATTGTTTCTGGACAGTTTCTAAGCAGTTTACATTCGCTTTTAGTGTCAGGGTGTGAAATATACTCTGCATTGATCAACTGTCCCCACTGAAATCAATGAAAGTTATACAACTTGCCTTTGTGGGAGTAATGTTAATGTAATGATCAGTGATTTTTCAATTTATCTGCATGCAAGAGTTCTTTGCTAGGAGAACTGGATGATCCTTTTTTTTTTCTTTAACATGCTCCATTCTTTAACAGTAGGATACAATGGGGATGATTGGGATACACCAGGGGACACCACTGATGCTGTTGCTTTGGTTCTGTACTAGTCCTTACTGCAAACTCCTTGTAGTAGTAGGGAATGAGAAAGTTGATAAAGAGCTGCTTACTGAAAGTTGATAGCCTAGTACTACATTTTTTCATTAAAGGACCTACAGACTGTATTGAGGGTGAAGGGATGGACTAAAATTGATGAGAACAGGGTTTAAAACTATGATTTCACTTAGAATTATTCACATTTCATTCAATTACTCAAAGTCTTTGAAAAAGTTCATGAAATAGTTGTTGAAAGAGGAAGGAGATAGATACAATTTGCTTGGCTTTACTAAAGGCTTTTGACCAAGCCTTTGATAAGAGTAAGGGAAATAAGAAAATACAGAACAAGTGGACAGAGTTTCACAAAAGATAAAAGACTGGTTTAGAGAAAAGAAATGCAGCTTTTGTGAATGTTTATTCCTTTGGGAGTGGAAAAAGTTAAGGTTGAGCTATTTTAAGGATTGGTGTAGGATGAGTGTCAATTAGAATTCTTTATAACTATAGCATATGCAAAATGGGCAGCAAATGATGAAGTGAGATTCCCAAATAACTCCCTGAGCTGCTGAAAGGAAGGAAAACTGAGAGAAACTCATGTAAGACCAAAACATATTGGAGTACATGTTACATAAATGAGTCGTGAGCACAGTGAGTTCTGTTCCTCTGAAAACTGATTGAACAGCCAGTCTTAAAGGGCTGTGATCATTGTCCCAAATCCAGCAGGAGGCCAGTCACTAGTGGTATCCCCAGGGATCGATACTTGGGCCGGTACTGCTTAACATCTTCATTAATGACCTGGGCAATGAGACAGAGCGCACCTTCAGCGAGTTTGCTGACAATACAAAACTAGGAGTGACTGATGTACCAAGTGCTTGCTCTGCCATCCAGAGGGACCTCGACAGGCAGGAGAAATGGGTAGACAGGAACCTCATGAAGTTCAACAAAGTGAAGTGCAAAGTCCTGCACCTGGGGAGGAATAACCCCCTGCACCAGTACAGGCTCGGGGCTGACCTGCTGGAATGTAGCTCTGCAGAAGCTGGGGGACGTGGGGGTCCTGGTGGACGACAGGGTGACCATGAGCCAGCAGCGTGCCCTCGCAGCAAAGAAGGCCAACAGCCCCCTGGTCTGCATGAGGCAGAGTGTTGCCAGCAGGTGGAGGGAGGTGATCCTCCCGGGTCTGCTCAGCCCTGGGGAGGCCACACCTGGAGTGCTGTGCCCAGTTCTGGGCTCCCCAGTGCAAGAGAGACATGGCACTACTGCAGCGAGTCCAGCGGAGGGCTAATAAGATGACTAGGGGACTGGAGCATCTCTCATAGGAGGAAAGGCTGAGAGAGCTGGGATTGTTTAGCCTGGAGAAGACTGAGGGGGGATCTGATCAATGTGTATAAATACCTGATGAGAAAGAGTGAGGAAAACAGAGCCAGAGTATTTTCAGCGGTGTCCAGTGAGGGCACAGGAGGGAATGAGCACAAATTGAGAGAGCAGAAATTCTGTTTAGACATAAGAAAAAGTATTTTTACTGCGGGAGTGGTCAGATACTGAGGAGGTTGCCCGGAAAGGTTGTGGAGTCTCCATCCTTGGAGACAGTCAAACCTGATGGGACAGAGCCTTGAGCACCCTGCTGTAGCTGACCCTGCTTTGAGTAGGGGGGTTGGACCAGACAATTTCTAGAGATCCTTTCCAACTGCGGCTATTCTGTGCTTCTGTGATTCTGTGATATTGAAAACTGTTGAAATACGCTGGAGAGGAAAAAGTGCAACCATTTCTCACAAGTGCTGATGTGTTCCAAAGGGAAATAAGTGATGTTATAAATAGCTGTGGGATATTCAATTAAGGTTTCTCTCTAGTATATAGTACTGCTGATAAAAACAACAGCAAGAGCAATAACAGCAAAACCCAGAACCGTAGCCAGTGCAAGAGGAAAGTAGTACTAAAATATAAATGAATGGACTTCTGCCAGTTCCAAAGCCAGTTCCAGTTAGAGAAATAAATATGTACTTTGAAGTTTTCAAAGCAGTGGTGTAAATAGGACAAAATTTTTGTGTTCGATAGGAGGGAATAAAAGCTGTGGCGGAATATAAACACTAGTGAATGAAGGAATTAGAGAACGGCAAGTTTTGAGAATTAAACTGAGAATATCTTTCACCAGAAATTACTACTTAGAAGTAGAACAAGGAAGACTTTTTCAGGAAACTAATTTTGGGAAATAATTCTAACAACTGAACTGTTTCTGAGATCTGCTGCTCGGTAGA